AGCCCCAGTTGTATTAGTTTGCTCTTAACCATGTAACTTTAAATCCCGGTGTAATTTAGCGTTCGGCGTCGTGTAATCTTTTGTGTAATTTAAGATTTACGAATGTAATCGCGTTTTCCCCCTTCTGATTCTTGCTCCGAATCTCAGGACGAGATTCTTTTTAGGGGGGTTGGTTGTAACACCTCTGGTGTTACGAGCTTGCTTAGCACCTAGGTTAATGCGTAAGAGAAATTAGCAAAATAAGTTTTCGGGTTTAAAAGTTTAAAGCCCACATGGAATTATAAACGAATCTTGTGCGGCTCGCTTTCATGAATAAAACAAACAAATAAGTGTCGCTAGTCAACTTGTCTCGGTGCTTAACAACTTTTAAATAATCTTGTGGACAAAAGTTGTTTACGGCTTGTTTTGGAAAAGTATGAAGAAAGTGCTTAAAAATGCCTGATAGCAGATAAATAGCGAATGGCTTGTTTATTTGATCAAGCATTAAAAACAATTTTTATAAACAAAAATAAAATATAACTTGTAATTGTTACTTAAATAAAATTTGAAGTACAAGTCTAGTAGATGAAAATGCAACTATTGAATTGGTGAATAGATGTTGTTCCATGGTATTTTTGATAGCTCAAGAATCAAATTGGAAATTAAAATTAGCCCTTTTCGTTAAATCGGCAAAAATTTGAAGTTGTGTTGAAAGTACACTTTTTGGTGATTTATAAAATGCTAAATTGGAATTTAAATTTTGATTAAAATTCTTAAACACTAGCATCTTGTTTTGGCACTATTGATTGCATCTTTGCGGATATCATAGCATGGTATAGTTCGTGGAGTGGTTTGACGTTGCGTTGTTGCTCTAAAAATTGCATTAACCTCCTTAGATCGCGCTATGAGCCATGTCGTTGGTGCTCTGTTCGTGAATCGGTACACCTGTAGTGAGCGATCTCAACCGCTCACCTCAACTACCTCACCCCGCTCGCTCTAGGCCGTTCATTCCACCTACCCGAGCTACTACTGTCGTCTACTGCCTTTGCCCCTGCCCTCTGCCTTGCTGAGCCACCAAGCCATCCCACGACGCTGCTCACCTCCTTCCTCTCCAAATTGAGTTCCCCTGTTCTTAGCACTGAAGGAGAGCGCATCGTCGATCTCCACACGCACCATACCATACCGGATTCGATTCTTCGGTGAGCACCTTCTTGCATTACCTCCTCCACCTATCCCAAGTCTCTCCTCCCCTCTTTCCTCTTTCAGTCGAGGTCCCCTCGAGCTCCAAAGCACCATCGTGGCCACGTCGTTCGTCGCCCGGCCCATCGTGAGCGCGCGCGAACCCCCCATGGTCCCACGCTGGAGCTGTAGCCCACTGTGCTGCCCCTTACGAACGCCTCCTCCGTAGTCCACGCGTCACGGCCATGCTGGCGCGCCGTCGTCACCGCGTCGCGCTTCCTGTCCGGTCGTGCCTGTGGCCCATTGCTCTGGGCCACCCCCTATAAGCACCTGCGGCCGCTCTCCCCGCCGTGGCCGCCCCACAGCCACCCCTCCATCCATCGTCCGCTGGCTACCCTCTGCTTCTTGCTTGCCCGCCGCAAGGCTCGAAGCCACACCGCTTCAGCGCCTTCCCGCGCTCGACCACCTGCCTCACCATCCCTGCACCACCACCTCGCCGTCGACGCCCCCCCACCGCAGAGCCGCCCGATCCCAAGCGCCGACGCACGTGGCCGGGGCTCCACACTCTACCTCTAGCCGAGCCGCATCCACCAGCGGGTGCGCCCGACAGCAGGCAAGCCGTGATGCCGCCTCCCCATCGCCGTCGGCAACCTCATGGCTGATTCGGCCACCGGGCGATTCCTCCGCCTGCGTGCTCACGCAGTGAGGAGGAAGAGGAGGACCGTGGGGTAAGAATAGAATTTTTCTAGGGTCCCCACCGTAATTCTCTGACTCATATGAATAGTGATGCATAGTGCCTAAAGTACTGTGGGTTGTTTTGAGGAAAGCTCAGGGGTCTCTTCACAATTGGTGCCACCGCCACTGGGCTCCCCATCAGGTCGCATGCCATACTGGCTACGTTGGCCTCTGTCCGCCGCCACTTTGCCGCTACTCGCTTTATTACCGCCGTCGTTGGGCCACACAGTCAGAGGGCACAGACGCTACCATGTGGCCGAGCCACGTCACAGATCGCTACTGCACACCAAGACGTAATGAAATGGCTGTAATTGTTCCAAGCGGTCCTCTTCCTTTTTCTTAGTCTTTTCTTTTTCTACCAAAACAGGGATCTTACAAAATTCATAGTAAATCATAGAAAAATTATAAAATTCCAAACCAATTTTGTTAGGCTCCTAAAATCATGATCTATCTATTAGCGTATTTGGTTCATCTAGTTTTAAAATGTTTCCAGGGTTGCTCTAATTATTTTAAAATGTTTAATATTGTAAAAATGTGAACTTGTGGGAATTTTTGTGAGAGATCGGTGATAGTGTTAGTTCTAAAAATTTTACAGTCGGTTAGAAGTGTTATCAGGTGTTCTCTGTAATTTTTGTAGCTACATAGTAAGTAAATTGCTAAGATAGCAAATGAGCCCTAGTTTGAATATATAGTAACTCAAGTAAATAAAATAAAGAAACACCTTGGAATTGTATAACTAAAACACTTGTCGGGAAACGACACCTTTCTCGACGATGTTGACACGTGGATTAGTACGTTAGTCATTAGAGCTAGCTTGTTAGTTCGTAGTATGTACTCTGTTTTAAGAGTTGTTGGTGCCTTGTTAATTAACTGTTGCATCATCTCTGCATCGTATTGCATACCATAATAGGGACAACGATGGATCGCGGAGTCATCGGAAGTTGCTGGTGAGATGGTACTTTTAGAGATCGTGTCACCAAGATGGAATACTAACTTTTGGTTATATGTTACACAGACAAGCCCCGGTACATAACTCCTACTTTTCTGCACTTTATATTATGTTTGTGCATTAAGTTTTAAGGAGTTGAATGAAACCCATTTGCATATATATATCTTTGTCCTATGAGCCTTACTGGTATGACAGGATCGTGTAGATTGCTATGCTACATGACTCCGGTAGAAGTCGAGTGATTGCCTGTCACTCGCGAGAGATAGGAAATATATTATTGTTGTTACAATTGAGTACTCAGGGTTTTTATTTTCCCCTGTTGCAGGTGATAGGCGGATGCTAGAGCTGACTCTTGTGTGTGGATTCCTCCTGGTGGGCTCACAGAGGATTCCTTTACGCTGCGATCATAGTCTTTATTTATAACTCTTACTAAATGTTTTTATAAATTAAAGTTTTATAATCTGTTGTCATAGTTTATATATCAATGCTTCATCATGTCATGAATAGATATTTATTTCCCCTGTTCTCTGATCACATGTTTATATTCCACTGTTAAAGTAAATTGTTCATAACTCTGATAACATGGGTATATTTCGCTGTTATAATAAATAAATATTATACTCTGATGCTGCATGGAATGTGATGTAAGAAATGGCTAAAATGTTGTAAGCTTTATTCTCTCATTTGTGATCCTGATGGAAAAATGTGGATTTTCGGGTTCTTCCTTGGGGTGTGCTCGATGAAACTGTGTAATTTGGTGCCCTCCCTTGAGTATTTAGTGTCTAATGGAAGACAAGTACTTCTGAGAGGCATTAGATTAGGCGGTTCTGCCACAAATCCCAAGTTGCGGATGTATGTTTCAAGTGTTTTAGATGTTTTATTTGGATGTTGCAAGTGTTTCATCTTGATGTTGCAAAAGTAGATCGGGATGTTGCACATGTTGCAATGGCTATACATGTATATTTCATGTGTATATTCCGAATGTTTCATGTGTTTTTCCATGTGTATGTTTGCAAGTGTTTCAGACGCATGTTCCAAGTGTTTCAGTTGTTGTCGTACATATGTTGCAAGTGTTTCATCTGAACGTTTGAAAAGTAGATCTGTTGTTGCAGCAAGTGTTTCATATGCATATTTCAAGTGTTTTTATCTACCTTCAGATGTATGTTGCACGTGTTGCATCTGGATATTTTAAAAGTAGATCGAATGTTTGCATCTTCCTCCTCGCTTTTTCTGCCTCGCATCGGTGTGTCTTCATCCTCCGGCGTCGACTAGGCATTCACCGCCCCTCCCGCCACTTTCTCGATGGTGTTGACGCTCGGGACGACATGGGCCCCGCGTGGACACGCGAAACGGTGTGAAAACGACTTGCAGGCACGGACGTCCGAACGTCTAGGCGCTAGTCGTGCCGTACGAACAGATAGCATAGCGCCGTAGCATGCCCTCGTGACGCATCCATGCACCTGATGGTGCGACGGAAGGCCTGAACCTATCACGTGCTTCGTGCTCGTTAATTTTCATCCCCTAGAGGACCATAGGCAAGAACAAACAGGGCATGAGGGCAATCGATGAACTGGTGCAGACCGACGAATTTAGCCAGCTCATTAGCCTCAACCTCGACAGCGATAATCCACCCGCCGCCGAGCCCCACCGTGGCGGCCAGAACAGCCACGCCCGAAAGCCAGGTCACACGACGGTGCCACCAGCGGACCAGCCCCGTATGCCGTACCCGTGCGGGCCATGCCATATGACACAGCACGCACTCTTTGGCTCGAGTGACACGCACGCCACCCAGCTACCGGAAGGGTAAAAGGAAGCTTGTCAGTTGTCACACGTAGCCCGTGCTCGCGCGGTGAGCCGGAGCCCGGAGGGAGGAAGGGAGGGATCGTAGAAACGGGGCCGGAGCGCGCGAGCCGCGTCCACGCGTACAGCGCCGTTGCGCCGAGCCGCCTTTCAACGATTTCACGAGTCTCGGCACGTCAGACGCCGGCGCTTTTGCGGCCTGCGGCTCGGACGGGACGTCCGCATCCATCGCCGCTGTGCTGATTTGATGTTTGCCTGGGGCTGGTGGGGCCGGCCGGGGGCAGGGCAGGCGCCAAGGGAGATCAGCCAAAGGCGTTTTTTCGCAACAATTCGATGCGGACGTTGAGGGCATGGACCGATGGACGGACGACGGGACGCCCGAATTGATTCCATCACCGGCGGAACGCGTGTTGTACATTTAACACCTGTACAGATGCGCGGCAGCTCTACGGTGCGTGCCGCCGAGGGCGGTGTACCGTGTGCGTACGGCCTGCAAGAGTTACAGCAGCAGCATGGTGGAGAGGATGATGAGACAGCCGTGCCAGAGAGCAGCCACCAGGTACGGCAGTGTCGAGGCTCGCGGGCGCGTCGCCGGGCCGCCGTTCGCGGCCGCCGTTGCCGGTGTGGTCGACGGCGCGTCGGAACCTGCAGCGAGAGATCTTGTCAGTGCCGACATTTTTGTCAGGACTCGCGCGGGTTGATCAGATGGTTACCGGGACATAGCAGTACTCCCACGTATTGCAAGATTTCAAGATGTACAACAATTTTAGTTTTTATTAGATACGCCTACACTTTGTACAATTGTATGTACAGGCTAATACTCAAGGGAGTGGTATCATACAAAGCTCAGAATTCCGGGCTAGTACGGATGGATGGTCTGGTCTAGCAAATGAAGTTTGCAAGAGGGGTACGTACCCGAGAGAATCTAGGTAGATTAAGAAAAAAAACACGGCGTTGACATGATGGTTTCCTAGAGTACCTACGACGCCTTTAAAGTTATTATTTATTAATCGGTCGCTAAATCCCACCAGGCACCAGGGCAGCCACATTGCAGAACGCGAGCGTATCGAAACCGGCGTAGTAGCGTTTACCGCACGCGGGCAGACCAGAGCGCGCCGTACGTACCTGAGTCCGTCGGCGCGGCGGCGGCTCCACCCGGCGGCTCGGCGACGGGCATGCCGAGCGCGGCGCAGAGCCTGGGCGGCGGCGCGTCCACGCGGCAGATGGTGGGCAGCGCGAGCGCGCGCACGGTGTCGACGCGGGCGCCGTGCGCGCCGCCGTAGTACCCGCCGAGGAGCGCGCACAGGCAGGGGGCGTCGTCGCCGCCCACGACGGCCGCGAGCGCCCCGCAGCAGCCCTTGTCCGGCCGCGTCAGCGCGCTGCGGCGCTCCACGTACGTCAGGCACGGCGTCAGGTTCAGCAGCGCGCCCGTGCAGTCCAGCGACGACGGCGCGGGGGCGCCCAAGGGCGGGGCTGATATCTGCGCGCTCGCTCGCGGCTGCAGGGCCAGCGTGGCCGCGACGGCGAGGACGACCAGCGCCGTGGTTGGCACCGTCAGAGCCATGGCGTCGCCGTCGCTGCCGCGGCTGGTTCTTGGGATTCCTGGTTTCCGGACGAGGGAGTGAGCGTGAGCTGTGCTCTGTTTGACATGCGGGGATGGGGAGCTCACTGCTCAGCGTGCGCCTGTGTGTCCGTTTGTGCGTCTGTGCTCGTGTGTAGGGTAGGCTGGCCGAGCGAGTGATGGGGACGTGTGGTTAAGTACAGCGTGGTGGCTTGTTGATTTTAGTCCAGCCTTATCAGTCAGCCAACAACATTTTTCTCTCACAACAAATCAGCACTAGTCGAACTTATCAGCGTAGAAACCGACCAGCGAACGGACTCGTATTGGTAGGTACCTTGTGGGCAACGCTAAGCTGGGGTGTCGTGACAATGGCGTTCTTGCCTAACGGCCAGCGGTTGGGAAATGGTAGGGTCATGAAGCCGCTCCATCCAATAAACCTTGCCACCGTAACTGTCCTAAACAAACATTGCCGTAACGTTTTGCAAAACAAAGTAAATGATTTCTGCCGCAATCATGATTTCTGCTAGTAGGAAACACACAAGGGCAAGTCCTCTTTTGAGTCCAGCCATCGGGGAAAAAAACCTACACCATTAAGCATAAAGATCGTCAAGGCACGACAGTGCCATGATTGTAGGATCCGATTCCGATCATACGACGACTCTTGGTCTTTCCTACTAGTATCAGTGATTAGCACGTACTACTGTAACCAAGAATGAATGATTGGAACGGGTCACAGTGCTAATAGGCGATACACCGAATAGACCATTCAAATTGATCCTATCAACTTGGCTGGGCCCAAACGGCCTAATAGCCTCACATCTCTACACACGGAATTACTCTTATCGGTCCGAGCTTCTCTCCCAAATCTCCGTTCTAGTCGTTCACTCAATTTTTCTCTCTCATCGTTCGTCCGGCACCGCTCACTCGAGTTCCTGCTCGCCAACCTCCCTCTCCACCACGTCCTACCACAAGCACTAGCCATCCTCCCTCTCCATGGCGTCCCTCGCTCGTTTTGCTCCCTCTCCGGCGATAGCTCCCATCGGTCTTTGGATCCAGGGCTGTGGTCGCTTAGCATATAGTTTTGGGATGTTGCATTTGTTGTTTCTTTATGTTTCATCAGGAGTTTTCTCATGTTTTCACAGCAAATTATGATGTTTTCAGTAGGGGATCTCTCATGTTGATGCAACAAAGCTAGCATGTTGCGTCACATGAATGTTTGGTGTTGCAATAAGTGATGATTTCTTGGTGTTGCAGTAAGCAATGATTTTTCTTATATCGATTAGAGATGTCGCACTCAGTAGCTGGCTGTTGGATGTTGCGTTTTGCTAATTTTCATGCTGTAGCATATAGACTGAGATGTTAAATAAATGATTTCTCATGTTGCGGCAATAAAATTGAGATGCAATAACGGATGATTTTGCCTGTCGATTAAGGATGTATCATCTCGTAACTGAATGTTGTATGTTGCAGTTCGTTGGTTTCTCATGTTGTAGCAACAAACAGAGAACAGGACGGGCACGCGGCGAATTTGACGGCTGGCAGCTACATCCGAACACAGCCAGGGGCCGAACGTCCGGGCACTGCGACGGACACCAAGGTTCCAAAATCTTACTGCTATTCCTTTTAAAATAAATCAACTTATCACTATTGTTTCATTGTACAGAGCACATCCCATAATTGTTTTTTATCCATAAAAATGAACCTAATGCGCTAAATCCAATTTGTTCCAGCTTTCAACCAGCATCCAACCTTAGATGTTCTAAATCTTTTCTGTTCTAGAACTCAACACGGTGTTGTATCTGGTGACACATAACCATGATTGTGAGGATTTTCACCCCGGCCATCTAGCTAGTACCACGCGCCGTCCACTCGACCACTGTGGCACTAACTTGAGGGTCATAGGAAGGTCCCTGAAATCGCCATCCACAATCTCCACTAGCGCAACTAAAACGCAGGATCAAGTTATAGAGTTCACACTACGATCCAACCAACAAGAATCATATAACTCACAAATTGCACCTTGCAATTAATTAAAATAACATTACAATTTATATTAGGTAAACAGACTTTTGGTTTTTATCTTTAGTCTCGGCCAAAATTGAGCCCGGGAATAAAGGGAGCATTAGTCCCTGTTGGAACCACCAACCGGGACTAAAGTCACATGCCCAACGTCTCACGTGGCAGGCTTTTGCAGCAGACGCCTTTAGTCCCTGTTGGTGGCTCCAACCAGGACTAAAGGTTATCTTCTAGTCCCGGTTGGTAGCACAAACCGGGACTAAATCTTCAATCCCGGTGGCTCCTACCGGGATTAGAAGGTGTACTTTATTCCCGGTTGGAAGCATCGACCGGGAGCAGAGGTACCCGGATATATGATACGTACATACTTTCTTTCCTCCCCTCCCCCAGCCCGAGCCATTTCAAGCTCTCTGTTCTTTCTCGTCTCAGCTTTGTTCTTGCTCTTGGAGGAGGAGTTCATGCTTCGGATCTAGACTTGATTCGATTCCTCTATCTATTCTTCGGTTCTATAGGTTAGCAACTTCATCCTCTCATGTTTCATTGCTAATATTGCTCATTTCATGGTCTAGAAACGAGAAATTTGTGGTTTTATTTTAGATTGAGAATAATGGCGTATTTTTTTATTTATATGCCATTTAAGCTCAAACTCACTTGATAGTTTGAATGTGTAGATGAAAGAAGCATATAGTAGTTGATCAAATTTAGATTCCTCCTTTAATTGATAGTCTAGCTCATTTCATGGTTTAGAAATGGAGAAAATTGAGTTTTTTAGACTAGGAATAATGGTGGATTTTTTGTTTGATTCATAAGCTATTTGAGCTCAAACTATTGATAGTTTGCATATGTAGAAGAAGAAAGCCTATAGGAGTTCAACAAAATGATTATCCACCTTTCATTGTAGTATAGCTCATTTCATGGTTTAGAAATGGAGAAAATTAATAGTAGTTGATCAAATGAGTTTAGACTAGATGTCGACTGCTTCTAGGTCTTGGCCTCGTATGGAGTCCATCCGCGACTGAGACCGTACCTCCCTCTCATTACGTGTGGCAAGTGTAACAAGACTGTTTTGGAGTTCAGAGTGAAGAAGACGGGTCCCAACCACGACTGCATGTTCTACAAGTGTCCGGATCGCAATATGAGTTCTTTGGACCGTGTTTTTTTTGGTTTGTATCCATTTCTATTTTTTGATAATTTTGATTAGAAGTTCTTGATTAATTTGATTTTCTAATTTCAGTGGGATGGTAGTGGATGTGAAGGTTGGTACTGGGAGGAGGATTATGTAAAGCACGTGCAGGACTCGGCTAAGGCGGTTGCTGAGGTAGTTGATGAGAGTGCACCTGTGCATGAAGAGGTGAACAAACAAAAGAAGCCAATCGATGAAGAACCGGCGAAGGATTTGTCTGTTTTAGTTGGAATTGGTCGCGAAATCATTATGTTGAAGTGCATTGTAGGTTTAGTTTTTTGTGCTATTTAAGATTGTCTACATTCACTACTAGAAATATCCACTTCTATGACAAAAATTTTAATGACGATTCTGAAATTGTCATAGAAGATTTATCGGGTTCATAAACTCAGGGTCCCCAATGGACCTACTTCCTTATAAAAACTCGGCCCTGCAGACGGCGTAGCGACAACTCGTGCCTCCTAGGCCAGCCTAGATACATAATGACAGGTCGGGAGAACGATCCGGTCCCCGACCGGAAGGCCTGGCCAAGGTGGGGACACTGTCTGACTCCAACCTCCTTTTCTGACCGATGATACGTCGGACCTCTGCTCGCGGCTCTTCCCTGACCGACACGGTCGGGGCCGACTGGGGACGACCGACCGGGGACACCCGCTGGATGAGGGCCCGAGGATCAGGCGGAGCAGATAAGGTAAGGCGCTTAGGTCAAACCACAATAACGAGGACCGTACCCTACCATACCTTGCGCACCTGCCGGATGGTGCCACCAGGCCATGCCAGATGGGCACTATGCAACCTTTCAGGCATGTCAGAACACAAACAATATTGTAGGCGCTGATGTTTGCCATACCAGGTGAACACGGTAGAGCCTGCCACAAGCATCTGGACATAAACAGTATTGTGGGCGCCGATGACCGTCTCGTACCCGACAGTGTAGGCAACAAGACTTGGTAGCACACGTATACATTCTCTCTCTTTCTCTGACTTGTAAGGCCATCCCATTCGACTATAAAAGGGGATGAGCTCTCTCCTAAAAACTCTCTCTGGCTCTCTGGCTCTCCTAAAAAAAGAGAAACTAGACGATTCGAGCACTCGAGGACCTAAGAACTCGAATAGCTCAATAGCTCTAGAACTCTAAAGCTACACAGAGCATACGCTCCAATACTTAGCGCA